CTTTCCCACATTTAACATGGTTCTCGAGGGGAAATGCTTCCTGTTGTTCAGATAAATGTAAAAGGTCAACGAAACACAATCAGAGCAGTTGATTCTGAATGTTGACATCATATTCTCTGAAGGAATGCTAATGACTCTTACCAGGGTGGCATTGGCTTATTCGGATGCCATGAAAAGCTCCCCTTGACAAGCACAGTGATGAACTGCACTTTTCCCAGCAGCTTGGATAGGGGTTTAGATGATAGACAGCTCTGCTAAGTTGAGAAGTTATTTTACATGAATCCATTTTTCATCTTGCTCTGCAACCTATAAAGTTGCTCAAAACTCAGAATAAATTTATTGCTGAGACACCTCCTCCACCTGAGATTGGGCCCAGTCGGGTCAAGATTCACCATACATTACAAAGTATGGTGATGCATCTGTTTACGTAAAACCTCTTTTGTCCTCCAAGGAACATATTTTCTGTTTGATTTTAATGTATCTGACTACACTGAGTGAATAATTCTATGCCTCAAAAATAAACTTTATAATCCACCTAATCTTATTTTATAAATGAGTATCAATTAATTAAATATGAACAAGTCATTCTAACCCTAACTTCAATGTTTATTATTGAGTATAATTTTATTCTTGATTTATTAATAGCTCTCTTATGGTGAGTTACTGGGTTGTCTGGAAAGTTTGAGGCATTTTTGCATAGAAAAACAAAAAGAAATCATGACTTTCCCAACAACTTAAAATATTTTAAATTTTTTATATGAGACAAAATGAAACAACTATATTTGACAGTTAGATATTTTCAAAATCAGGTGAAAATACTCTTTCTTGTTTTTGTTTCTTCTTTACAGCCCTGGAAATAATGAGTTCATATACTATTTTTCAATAAATTAACATATTATTCCTCCAAAAAGCAATGAGACTGATTTCTAAGAAAAGGGAAAGGACTTCCATAAATTATATCTTATGACAATAAAAGGATGTACCCTCTCATAACAAACCTAACTGAATCCCTTCAAATTTCAATGATGTCGTTCATGACTAGGACTCCTAAAGGTATCTGCTTTCAAGAGTATCATTTAAAATGTAAATGTAAATGCACTTGTAGACATAAGCTTTGAGCCTATATCAGTTAACACATCAATTATCATTTAAGACCTAGCAGAAGGGCAGCCATTAGAGAAAAAAATTGAAATATGTTTCATGCCCAGGCAGAAGTCAGCCTGGCTATGGAAATGTCCTTCAAGAAATACTCCCTCCCTGGTTTCAATCTTTCTGGTCTTAGAATCTTAATTTCAATAGTCAGAGAGAGATACCTCTTGCTAGAATCTAGAATAGCATCTTAATGTATTCTTAAATTTGAGATTGTATGATCATAATATGTTTTGTTTTGTTTTATTTTGTTTTTAGATAGGTTTTTGCTATAGGGCACGTGTGCTCGCCAGACAGACAGAGAGAGACATAGAGACAGAAAGCGAGAAATCACCCCCCAGAGGGAATGGCTATGCCACAAACCCTTCTCCTCCGTTCTCCTCTTGGGATCTTGGGCACACACAAACACACACCTGGCATGAGTTTCAAGCCACTGGGTCCGGGATACGAACTGCGGTCGACTACATGGGAGTCCAGCAACAGAGCCATTATACTAACTGCTGGTCCCATGATATGTGATTTGTTAAAAATGACTAATTTCATATTATAAAATGAAATCTAAGCTCATTACTATAAATTAGGGTCCCAGCAAGAAATAGGTAGCATGCTCAAAGAGGTATTCAAGAAGATGAAGTTCAGGGACAGAAGGCAGACTAAAGAGAAACAACAAATGACAGAAGCATCCAGAAACCCACAGGTTAAGAGCAGGAAGCTATTACTACTCTATCCTTGAAGGTGAAAGGGGATAGTGTATGTTATTGAAACAAAAGAAGAGTTAAGGCTGGGTCGACCCTGTAGTTTAGTGGTTAAGGGAGTTGGATTCCACATGGCTGACCACAGTTTGAATCCTGGACTGTTGACTTGAAAACATGCTGGGCCTATGTATGTGCATGCCCAAATCCTGACAGGATAGAGAAATGAAGGCGAACAGATTGTGCCATGACCATGCCTTACTGGGAGCAGGGGTACTTTCTCCCTCTCTCTTTCTCCCCATCTCTCTCTCTGGAGAGCACAGGTATCCTCTGGCAATTAAAAAAAAATGAAAGAAGAGTTAAGACAATGACAGAGAACCTTTACCACACCATGGCAGAGAAAACATACACCCTGACCTCTGGTTGCCCTTGCTCTTTGATCTCTTTCTGGTGCTTCTTATTGACCAACTCCAACCATGACCCACAGTGCAAGGGAACCCAAGGCAGCCCCTTCACCTCCAGAAGAGGGTGGAAATGGACCTGGAAGAGCAGGTGGATAAGAGCAGCACGTTTTCCCTTACTCATAGTCATACAGAAAATGAACCTCAGCTATTCCTCACTAAGGAGCTGATGGGAATCCTCTGTCATTGTGCTATTCCTTCAAATTTCTCTTCTTTCCAAGTCTGAAGTTTCTCTTCTAGTTTTTTATTCAGTCGTTCCACACCACTCTGTGCTAGAATATGAGGCAGTCCTTATAGTTGGGTCATTTTAATTTTTTACAAAATAATCTCTTTTCTTTTTCATTAAAGTTTTCTTAGTATTGTATCTCAAATAGTTTATTTCAATCCAGATTTCTCCTTGACACATTCTCTAGTGGCCTGCCTCCCTGACTTTCTTACTATGCTGGGATGCTTTCCATCAGGTAATTTAGCTCTACAGCTCCATCCTTAAACCGGATGCCCTGTCCTACATCTCCTCCTTATATTTTCAAGTGTTCCATTCTCTTTGGCAATGGGAGAGACTTCTAAAATTTATTTTAACAGGAGAAGTCACTCTCTGACTGGAGTAGAACATCACTATGTGAAAAATAATTATTTTTAAAGTCAAATAAAAACACCTATCCCATTCTTCTCTTCTTTATGTCTTTTGTCCTGGCTCCTTTACCATTGATTTATTTTCTTTATTTTCTGTTTACTTGCAATGTTATGAATAAATGTTTACAGGACAGTACATAATAAAGTGTGTGTGTGTCTGTGTGTGTTGGGGGTCTAAGAAGAGTTTAAGATTGTCTTATAGATTATCAAAGTAAATTAAAAATCAGGGATGGTTTTGTATTGTTCAGATCGACTTACCTCTCCCAATCTAATTTTATACTTTACATCTTTGTTTTCCAGAGATGGTGGCAAGGTTTTTTACAAGTCATAGAATTCTAATTATGCCTCCTTTTTTACTCTATCAGATTCGAAGCCAGAGCAAAGCCTCCGGGTCTGGGCTCTGTGAAGGGGATGAGGTGGTGTCTATCAACGGCAACTCTTGTGCAGACCTAACCTACCCTGAAGTCATCAAGCTCATGGAGAGCATAACAGACTCTCTCCAAATACTCATCAAAAGGTACAGCAGATTGGTGGGAATAGATATTTTTCTCTTAAATCTACATGGCAATGATAATAGCTTCTACAAAATGTGTAACTTGTCAGTTATGGGGTCAATTGAGTGTGCTTTGTAGAATGTCAGTATAGTTTAATAGAAACACAACAGTGTTAGAAAAATGGACAATTCTGTTAACTGAACTTTCTGATTAATTGAGAATTACCTTGAAACTCTTTGATTCAAGCCTTCATTGAAAGTTTCAGTTATTTTAGACTATTTCCTTATAAAGCTCAGTATATTAAACATACTTTAATACTTTTTTGATGAGTAAAATGTTTGCAACGGAGCAAGATCAATTGATTATAATTGCCAGATTCACAGATAAATTAAAAATGTTTGTGTTTGGCCAGCCTCTTAGCCTAAGGGCTAAGGGAGTTAGATCTCCCATGGCTGACTATGAAGTTTGAATTCCAACCCCTGTGGATTGAAAAACACACTGTGCACACATGTGAGCATGTCCAAAATCCCAACGAGATGCAGAAATGAGGATATGGGCTGTGGGTGACCATGCCCCGTCGAGGGTACTTTTTCTCTGTCTCTCTTTGGTAAGTGCACATGCCCTCTTTCTATCAAGAAAAAATTTTTAAATGGAATGTTTGCGTTAAACTATTGCACTGTACATTTTTTTCTTTCACTGAAATGGGATGCATAAGACAGGGAAAACAGCAACAATAAAAATTAAAAGAGCCAGATGTCTGCTTGTCAGGACCTCCAGTAAAATGAATATTGGATATGGACAGAAGCAGATAATTAGGATAAAGTGTTTGTGCTAGCAGTGCAAGTCATTTACGGATCTCATGTCTCCAGATACCACCATCCTCATAGAATTGTTTAAAACTACAGAAGAAAACTTGAAACATAAAAACAAAAGAAAACAACAAGGGCAAACCCAAAAAACCTATAGCGTCAGCATTTTTACAGAGTACAAATCACCATACAGTCCATACTGACTTCACAGCTGAAGCCATGACCGTTGCTTTATAATAAATCCAGAGAGGGAAGCTCTGGCTTCCTGGAGAACAGCCTTTAGGACGATGTCAGAGGACATCTTATAGAGAAGCTCAAAGCCCTCTAGGTTTTGCTTCCACTGCAGAAACACTACATACAATGTTCCTCCTCTGATAAGTCATTCAGTGTGATCCCATTTCTACATAAAGTGAGTTCACTGTGGCCAACATCTTGTGACAATAAATGGAATCTAGCTTTATTCTCAGAACTTCTCATCTAAATATTTACTCATCAAGCCCAATGTTAAGTGTTTTTTACCTCATTTATTTATAAAGATGCCATTTCTTATTTATTTATTTATTTTAGAGGCTTTTACCTTAGAGCTTGTGTGTTTGATGGGGTGGGAGAGAGAGAAACAGAGACAGTGAGATGGAAAGTGAGAAATCACCCCCCCCCCAAGGGGGAATGACTACTCTGCAATCCCTTCTCCTCCATTCTCCTCCTGGGATCTTGGGCACACAAACACATCCTTGTGCCCTGTGTGAATTTCAAGCCACCAAGTCTGGGACTTGAACTGCAACTGGCCATGTGGGAGTCCAGTAATGTAACTGCTATACCATCAGCTGGCCCCGATGCCATTTGTCTGAATAAGAGACCTAAATGAAGTCCATCCCATGGCCTCGTGGTTAAGGCTCTGGATCCTACACAGCCAACTATACAGTTCGAGTCCTGGGAGCAACCTGAAAAATACTCTGAATATGTGTACATATCCAAAATCCCCAAAGGAGGGAGAGGTGGAGGAGAAATGATTGCAGTGTGACCAGGCCCCATGGTGGTGGTGGCGGGGTGCTTTCTCTGTCTCTGTTTCTCTCTGACAAGTGAGCACAACTCTGGCAAATTAAAAAAAATTCTAAAGGAATGTGGCCAAGTGTAATATTTGAAGACTTCCATTTTTGTCAAGGTTTAATCATACCCAAATTAGGGGGAAAATGTTTTCTAATTTATTCCCTTTTTAATGTCTTTACTGACTTAATCGGGGTAGTTTATTTGGAACACATTTGTTGGCTGGGACATTCCCTACTAGTTCTTGTTTTGAGTATGATGGCTATCACTGAGAAAACGTGGTGGTTTAAAGCCAAGTCTTAGGTACAGATTTACTTTCAGAAATAGCCTTTGTGACATTTAGTGAGTGGAATCATGGTTAGCATTATTTTCTCTTAATTATTTTGACTTTTTGCAAAATAAATAACTGATGGGATTACAATGAAATATCAGGTTAAAATCAGCCCAAAGGCTGTCACCATCATCATCATCATTATCATCACTACTGTCGCTCTGGGTATCTGACTATTGTTTCCTGCCATTAAATGTCTCTCTCACTCATATCATTGTCATCTATCACAAGAGGACAAATCTTTTACATTTCCTGAATTATTGGCCAGAGTAACTGAGAAAGATTATTTAAAAAAAAACTCTTTTAACATTAAGCTTCTGTTATCTTGAATTTTATTAGACATTAAAAATGATTATATAATTATGAAACACACATTGTGGAATTTAGTACCTATATATACTAAAGGGGAATGAGTGTAATAAAGCATGACGTTTTCATCTCTCTCTCTCATGCTTTTGAAATTTCTTTCCTCAAAAATAAATTCTTTATTGCTATATAATTTCTTTGGAAAAATCTATCACATTACTTTTTAAAGAATTTATTTATTTATTTTTCATTTGACCAGAGAGGGACAAAGTGAGTGACAGAGAGAGAAAGTAAGAAAGTAAGCTGCCAGGTTTGGGACTTGAACTGCAGTCAGCCATGTGGAAGTCCAGCACCCTTAACCAACATGCCACCTGCTGGCCCCTATCACAGATCTTTTAAAAAATAAGTAAAAGAAGGGGAAAAATAAAAAAGCCCAGTAATACCCACTAACCTGCATAAATCAACTGAAAACATGGAGGACATTTCATCTCAAAACGAAATCCAGAACTTCATGGCTTTTACAGGTCATTAAAAACAATGTAGGAGGTGGACTCATCTTGCTTTAGCAGCTTTGACCTGGAAGAATTGGCCAAAATGAATCAAGAAGAATAATACAATGTGAATGCAAGAGCCCTTAATGTTTTTAGTGTCTAACTAAGACACTTTTATTCATTCATATACATTTAACTTTAGCTACTGATACATGTTAATGTTCATCCAGCCCAATCACTTGTATCCCAGTCTAAAAGGCTGGAACGAATTGAAACTACTCTTCTCTGCTTCACAACTGAGTGCTAGCATAATTCAAAGTGATCTAATCTACTTCCATCCCATGGCCTTCCTAAATTAAAGCTCCCTGACCTTTTGGTACCCTCAAATTCAGTTTAATGGAATGTATTCATCATTTCCTACATAAGAATGATCTAATTTGCTGTCATCATGTTTTTAAAATACAATAATATTTTTAAATGCTATATCACCAGAAAGCTTTTCAGATGACTTGTGTGGGTAAAGCTGCAATTTGTTTAGTTGTTTTTGTTTTGTTGTGTTTTGCTTTGTTAAATTCAGTTAAAAGCAAAGTTAAGAGTAAATTATTTTGAACATTAGTCTGAAACTCTACTACCACATCAATATTAAGGCAAGTTCCTGTAAGAAAAATAGAAGTAAGATTTTGCACCCTTCAATTGATGATTCTTGCATTAGTCGGTGTGCATTCTGAGGAAGGAGGACAAGAGCAGTGATAGCTACTGCCACTTTTAAAAACATTTTATTTATTTTTATTTTTATTTGCTATTGGGTATGTGCACTCATCAGAGAGAGACAGAGAAAGTGAGAAAATAAGCAGCCAGGTCTAGGACTCAAACTGCAGCTGGCCATGTGGGAGTATACCACCTTAACCACCATGCCACCTACTGCCCCGTGCTGCTATTTAATTTTAAAAAAAAAGAAGAACAAATTTTAAGAAGTGAAAGCATAGCTTATAGGTCTCTTCTGAATGACACTTCCTCTTAAAAGCATTAAGAGTTACCATCAGAGTTTTAGAGAGAAGTTGTTTAATTCCTAGACTGACATTGCTTCTCACAAACCCAAATTTGCAAACCAACTGGGACTATATAGGGTTAAAATCAAAGGACTCTGGTGAACGGCTCTGGGCTCCCTAGCTGAGAGATAAGGAAGAGTTGGACTTCAGAGATCCTGAAAGGAAAATGCTCCAAGAGAGGTTCAAATAGAAGGAAGAAGAAAGGGAGAGATCTCAGATTATAAATACTCCATGACTTAATGATTCATTGCAGTATGGAAAGGATTTCTCTTTACACAAGAGTACTCGGCTGGGGCCCACTTATTACAAAACACAAGCTCGCTGGAGCTTAAAAAAAAGCTTCTATTTCATTCCTTTCAAGAAAGCACACAGCCTCTAAAAGGGTTGCATGAATTATGTGTAAGTTAGGTTTGATCTGAAGCTGTTGGATATGCTTATGAGACTTTAGAATGTCTAGACCAAACTTAGTCAAAGAAATTGGGATGTTTTGTTACCTTCTAACAAGCATGGTTATCAGAAATAACCCAAATTATCACAAAAGGGCACCCATGTAGCTACAACATGTGCCTTTTAAAAAGAAGGCTGAATTTAGGATAAATTTAGATTTTATAATCTTTTGTAAACATCTCTGTTGTGCTTTAAAGAGAAGTTTATTTGTAAATTCAAAATAATAATATGAACACGTTGCTGACTTCTGTTTTCAAATATGTTGCATTAACATTGAGGAGGAACTATTTTGACTGTATCATGTATTAGACATCATAAAAGTGTCGGGAAATTCTTTGGCAGGTGTAACACTGATTTAGCTGTCTGGAATTATTTTTCTGTGTGCAGACCATCCAGTGGAATAAGAGAGGCTTTAATCTCTGAAACTGAAAACAACAATCATGAACACCTCACACACGAGGAGTACGTGGAAAGTACCACCCTGCAGATTCAACCAGCCACAAAGACCCAGTCCAGAGAGTTCTTCCTTGCCCCTGTCAAGAGCGGAGTTCCCTTAGCTGAAGACCAAAGAAGTAGTCCTGGCTGTGCAGGAAATGTGAAAGAAGAAACAGGCCTGAGCTACCAGGGGGCTGCCCAGGTGCCTGACTCCCAAAGAGGACGGTCGGCAGCAGAGATTATCTTGAGGGAGAAGACAGAAGTGGGGCAGCCAGGCCCCGTGGTTGAGCTACAATTGTCCCTTTCACAAGAAAGACACAAGAGTTCTGGTGGCCCAGTAGTGGCTCTCCTTGGAGCTGAAAAATCTGAGTCTTCTGACCCAGACCCTAATTTACAGCAAGATGGAATTGTCCACAGAAATTCAGTCCCTGCTAGTAGGAAAGCAGACCCATCTCTGAGATCCAGCAAGATAATCCAGATCTCCAGTGGGGGAGAGCTGAGAGGGGGCCAGGGCAGAGAAGCAGGAGATGTGGGGCTGCCCCAGGTGGAAGTGATCCTCGACTGCTCCGACAGGCAGAAGGCGGAAGGGTGCAGGCTTCAGGCAGGAAAGGGGTGTGTGGATTCTCCAGTGGAAGGAGGGCAGTCAGAAGCACCTCCTTCTCTGGTATCCTTTGCCGTCTCATCAGAAGGCACAGAGCAGGGAGAAGATCCACGCTCGGAAAAGGATCACAGCAGACCTCACAAGCACAGAGCACGGCACGCACGTAAGTCTCGCTCTGGGTCAGTGCCTCGGTTACCAGAGGGGGCTTGGGAGTTTAGGGCACTTTGCTGCTGCCTTGCCTGCATCCATTTGTTTCTTTTTTCTAAAACAATTTCTTATGTCTCTCATTGGCTTTTTAAAGACATAATGAATGCACAGAATAACAGACACAACATGGTAGTGAATATCAATTTCTGAACTGGAAGCCATACGTGTGAATTTTGTAAGGAGATTTAGATGTTTTTGATGAACGTCTTTTTATTCCCAAAGTGAAAGAAAAGAATACTGTCAATGTGCCTTTTACGTTTGTTTTAGAATGTTACCATATTTTATATTAAAAATAGCTTACGAGAGTTGTGGAAGTCCTGTGGCTGCTAAGATTAAATGTCAGAAATGGTCAAGTTTGCTGCTGCGAGAGGTCTTTAACCACTGATATTAAAAGCAGATTCTCATCTTGAAAAAAAAATCATTGTGCAGCTTGATGATGCTTGCAGAAGTAAGTTTGACAGACAAGGGCATGTGTAATGCTGAGCAGTTACATGATCCCCTCCGTTTTGTAAGTCTTCACTCGACTGCAAAGAGTCTCATCTACCTTCTAGACACAGAAGTCAGTCTCCAGGCCCATGTGGGGGCATTTATATGTCTCCAGACATAAACTATACTTAATTTCAAAGTTTTTTATGGCATTTGTTTTACCCAGGGGAATGAGGACAGAAAGGAGAGTCGAGATAAAAATTGCATTTATGTGTTAACAATTTTTGTTGTTTTCTTTCATTTATTATTTTTTTCAAATTTTGGAACTTCATTTGAGGTTGTAGAGGCAAAGGCATTTGACTATGTGAATGATATGCAATACCAATGAACTTGGTTAGTCAAAGTGGTCTACTAAATCTTGTTATTCCTTTTGTAGCATATTTTTAGCATAACCATTTGTAGCTTTATTGGCAAGTGCTGTTAATCATTTCTTATACTTTAAGCATCTGTATGCCATCTTCACATTTATAGCATAGTAAACATGAGTATTAAGACAGCATTCACATACTTTATGTGTTGGCGGTGAAGTTAGCAACAACTGTGCAACTGTGACTGTCAATTTAATAATAAGTTGTGTAACACTAGTCACAAAAGGAATTAAATGCAGTAATTACCACCTTTAAAAACTATTTTCTCTCCATAAAATTTGTTCACCATTTGTGCTTTTGTTACAAAATTATTTCCTCTGATTATATTTTGTTTTTAAAAACTTAGCCATTAAGTCTGATGGGTTATTTCCAGTGAGGAAAAAGAGCTCATTTTCAATCATAAAATATTAAAAAAATTTTTCTGAAATTTCCATTTAACTATTTTGAGGAATTAAAAATTTAATTGTGAATGATATCACTGAAAACATGATTGAAATTAACTGACACTATAAATTAATTCAGCAATTTATTTTTGATAGTAATAATAAAAAAAATTTTGAAAATAAAATTTTACTTTATAATGGCCAAACTTGTTTTAGATGACTTCATTACTACATCAGTTTTTATAAGCAGTGAAAAGAATCACAAGTCAAGTAATTTTTAAATTTACACTTGTTCTTACTTCAATTAAAGTAGTAGTATATTTCCAAAATGATGATACATTTTCCAATTTGTCTAGAAAACATTGTAGAGTTTTTTTTAGATATGCTGTATTCACAATAATTAGTATTCTGAATTATAACAAGTTATTGATTCAATACCTTTAACTATTAGTTCAATGTTTTGAATCTAGTAACTCAGTAGCTATGAATGGAAAGATGTAGGCAATTGTCAAGTGGGGGGAAAAAGAAAGAAAAAGGAGACAGAGCTAAATATCAAAATTCACTACATTAAGACATTCAAAAAAGTTTTTAAATGTAAGAAACCTACCTCCCTTTTAAAATCTTTCATACAGTTTCATATTGACATTTTATTTTTTAAATATGTAAGTAAATATATGTCTTATTTTGTTTCTCAGAAAATATTATAACCTTAAATTATGACCTTTTAAATTCTAATTATAAACTGACTTTTACTAGCCACTTTTTATCATTAAAGCATAAGAGTCTGTATAGGGAAACAAATGTATGAAATATCTATTCTTAATCAGCATACATAAACAGGTATTTACATGAACAAATAGAACAGGGCATACTATAATTTTATGTCTAGCCTATATTGTTATACAAGTATCCATTTTAAAAGAAATAAGAGAGAAATGAGTTGAATTTCTTCAGAGTTCAGTACTCAACCGTAAGAATGTTTTACATATTCATTTTCCCCAGGGGCAGTCCATTTCTGGGTTGTTGAGGTATCTTCCTTGAACTCATCAACTTAATATAATTTTTGTACCTTTCCTAGGGCTCAGGAGGAGTGAGAGCCTGTCAGAAAAGCAGGTGAAAGAAGCAAAATCTAAATGCAAAAGCATTGCTCTCCTTCTGACAGATGCCCCCAACCCCAACTCCAAGGGGGTGTTGATGTTTAAGAAGCGCCGTCGGAGGGCCAGGAAATATACCCTAGTCAGCTACGGGACCGGTGAGCTTGAGCGTGAGGCAGACGAGGAGGAGGAAGGCGACAAGGAGGACACATGTGAAGTCGCATTTCTTGGCACAAGCGAATCAGAGGTGGATGAAGAGTTATTGTCTGACACTGACGACAACACACACGTGGTGAACTTTGACTGGGATTCTGGACTGGGGGACATTGAAAAGAAACTGAACAGAGGGGACAAGATGGAGATGTTGCCAGACACCACAGGCAAGGGAGCCCTCATGTTTGCCAAGAGGAGGGAGAGAATGGATCAGATCACGGCCCAGAAAGAAGAGGAGAGGGTGGGTGGAATGCCAGGCAGGGAACCAGATGCTGCCCAGGTGGATGGCCTGAGAACTGCCACGTCTTACCAAAGGAAGGAAGAAGAATCGGTGAGAATGCAGAGCTCTGTGAGCAAAAGCTACATTGAGGTGAGCCATGGCCGTGGCCACGTGCCCCAGCACAATGGCTTCAGTGGGGTGTCGGAGACCGCAGAGGCCCAGAGGATGAACCCGATGAATAGAACAGCCAGACCGTTCCCGGGCTCTGTGAACCAGCCGCCCACGCCCTTCTCCCCCACCCGAAGCGTGGCAAGTCCGATCGCTGACTTTCCTGCGCCTCCACCTTATTCTGCCATCACTCCTCCACCGGACGCCTTCTCCAGAGGGGTCTCGAGTCCAGTCGCTGGGCCAGCACAGCCCCCTCCGTGGCCCCAGCCTGCCCCATGGTCCCAGCCCGCCTTCTATGATTCATCTGAGCGAATAGCTTCCCGGGATGAGAGGATCGCTGTGCCAGCCAAAAGAACAGGGATACTGCAGGAGGCCAAAAGGAGAAGCACCACGAAACCCATGTTTACTTTCAAAGAGCCCAAAGTAAGCCCCAATCCTGAACTCTTGTCACTTCTTCAGAATTCAGAAGGCAAACGGGGTACTGGAGCTGGAGGCGATTCCGGACCTGAAGAAGACTACCTCAGCTTGGGAGCAGAGGCTTGTAATTTCATGCAAAGCTCCTCTGCTAAACAGAAGACCCCTCCTCCCGTTGCTCCAAAGCCTGCAGTCAAGTCCACAGCCTCCCAACCAGTAACTCCAGTTTCTCCAGTCTGGTCTCCAGGAGCAGCTCCAACCCAACCTCCTGCCTTCCCGGTGTCCAACCCATCACAGGGCACCGTTGTCTCCTCCATCAAAATAGCCCAGCCTTCTTACCCTGCTGCCCGGCCCGCGAGTGCTCTGAACATGGCTGGTCCCTTCAGAGGGCAGCAAGCAGCAGTAGCCAGTCAGAATTACATGCCCAAGCCACCAGCTCCTACACCCATAGTCAACGCTGCACCTGCCAGTGCAGTGGGACCATCCAATGAGCTTCCTGGCATGAGTGGGAAAGGAGCTCAACTCTTTGCTAAAAGGCAGTCGAGAATGGAAAAGTACGTGGTGGATTCAGACACAGTGCAGGCCCATACTCGAGCTCAGTCTCCCACACCATCTCTCCCAGCCAGTTGGAAGTACTCCTCCAATGTGCGAGCGCCTCCTCCCATGGCCTATAATCCTATCCACTCCCCCTCCTACCCGCTGGCTGCCCTCAAGTCTCAGCCATCAGCTCCACAGGCCTCCAAAACAAGCAAGAAAAAGGGAAAGAAACCACTCAATGCTTTGGATGTGATGAAGCATCAACCTTATCAGCTCAACGCATCCTTGTTTACTTTCCAACCTCCAGATGCAAAGGATGGCCTCCCCGCAAAGTCATCAGTCAAAGTCAATTCAGCCCCAGTCATTAAGCATGCTCTTCCGCCCCGGGCGGTCAATGCTAGCTCACCCACAAGTGTGCAGGCATCATCGGTGTACTCGGTGCCAGCCTATACCTCTCAGCCTGCTTTCTTTGCAGAGGCCACCTCACCAGTCAGTGCATCCCCAGTGCCCGTGGGCGTTCCCAGCTCTCCAAAGCAAGAATCAGCCTCATCATCCTACTTTGTGGCACCGAGGCCGAAGTTCTCAGCCAAGAAAAGTGGTGTCACAGTGCAGGTGTGGAAACCATCTGTTGTGGAAGAGTGATCTTGTAGCTTGAAGCTGAGTGCCCACTTTGCTTGAAATGAATTGTTTGCAGTGTTACTTGAGTCTCTGAGAATGCCTAGCAAGTCCTCAGCTTACTTAATTTCAGATATGTCACCTCCCAATCTGGGTCCAAGAAGCATCATATTTTTAAGGAGTCAGAAATCCAACTCAGATTGACTTAAAACATTTTTATCTTCTTTGCACACTTAGAAAATCTGGGAGCACCCAATAGAGACATGTGCCATTGTATTAAGTAAGCAGGATACTTAGGATTTATGCTTTTGCCACAAGACAGACAGTGATCAGTATTACCAAACATCAAGACACAGTCTTTATGTAACATAATAGTTGTGCTCCTAAGATAAAAAGGTTCAAATGTAGTGAAAATATAACACATATTGACTGAAATTTCCCTATTAAATAGTGCTTTATCTTTATCACTAGTGTTAAGGGAATAATGACAGGAATAAGCTCTGGTCTGTCGACCTCAGTCACCTGTTTGATATTGCGAAAAAGGTCCTCAGAATTGTTAGGATGTATATAGTTTAGTAAGAGGTGGGTACGAAAGAGGGTCTTAATCATTACTGGCACTTCTTATGGATTAATTCTTTGTAAGATGTTTTTACCTACATTAACTAATTTCAGAAGACTTATTGAAGGTAATTGGTATAGGGTAGGAAGGATCATTATCCTTAGCTATGATTCTCATCCTCCCTCCCCAGTTACTTAAGAAACTTAGTGAGTACATCTCCAATTGCCTATGAAAGCATAAATTTGTTTTCCTCAGCTGAGGCAAGTGGTAGAATTCAGTGTAATGAAGTAACGTATATTTTTAAAAAAGCAAGATGCACATATAGTTATAAGTGGCTATTGTTTCACCTTGGGAAGTCACATGACTGGGACCTGACAGGTTACTCACTACAAGGGCTGGTTGTGAAGCATGTGGAACCCCAGGTGCGTGAAGACTGTTGGGTGAGAACACATCATTATTAGCATCATGTATGCGTGACCTCACAGATGCTTTTCCTTGTGATCATTTTGCTTTTTGACAACTGCTTCTCCCACTGTTCCTTGCAATTCTATTCCTACACCTTCACTTTATTATTTATATTTGATGGACCAGGATAATTCGGGCAAGGTTACCTTGTAAATGTGGAGGCTCACACACCATGTCATCATCCAGCTGGCTATGAAGTTAATAATGTTACTGAAAGTAAACCTGAAGACCTTTCTCATATCTATTTTAAGTACGAGTCTGACCAACCCTGGAAAATATTCAACGTGAATTAATGTAGAGAACTATAAAGCATTTATGACAGCTCCAAGGAAAGCCATCTACTCTATGCAGGAGATATGTTTAGAGACCTCTCATGAAAGCTTGCCTGGTTGGAGGGTACATAGTACCATTCGAATCCTCTGAAAATATCTGTATTCTGTTCTTTTTCTGCTGTCACTGTCAATCTGCTATATTTTTCACTATCCTATTAAAATATTACTTTCTTCTTTATCTGTTTAATGCATGTTTTTTTAAATCTTCCTTGTTTGAGCTCATCTGACCTAAGTTAGTTCTCTGATAACTCTCTCATATCACTCCCATAATATCTGAATTTCCCTTTTGTGAGTATAATATCTGAATTTCCCTTCTGTGAATATATCTGTTTCTTGGTAGGCTGTAAAACTGCAAACCCTGTTATTCCTGAAACATAGAACATGCAGAAGAGAATGAAGTCAGCTTCAGAACAATGGAGCTGATTCTTCTGCTCTTCTCTGGGAAATTTCCCATTGTCTCTGGTGGCAGTTTACCTGGAGGTTACAACCACAGGATATAGCTTAGTCTTTTATTTACCATTGGGAAATCAATTACAAAGAATAATGCAGAAAGGAAAAAGCTGTGTCTCCATTATGTAACACAACTTGTATTACTTGTTCCCTGCGAAGGAAGTGTGTTGAATGCTGTGCATTTTGCATTCTTTTCTAATAGAACAGCCAAAAAAGGCTTCTTAAGGTGAAGCAGGAAAGGAGATATGTTTTATAACCTTGCATTCTTAACATAGCATTGAAGAACAGCATGAGTTAGAAGAATGACGTGGAACCACAGGCAGGTAATCCATTTGAGATCATGGGCTCAAAATTATCCTAGGATAGTCATGACCCAGACATACTGCCAGTTGCCCAGTGGTTGATTTGTGGCATGTAGGAATGAGAAGTGTTTTCGGTCTATTTCCTGTTGGACAGGTGGCAGTTTTAACAGAGCCACTATTTGGAATTGATGACTAAAGACATATCAAACATGACTATGTCTTCTAGTCATCTTGGAACTATTTGGAGTTCCCAAAAAGTTGTTAAAGAACATGGTGGGTATGTGGGCAAAACACCTGTAACCTTAACTGGGAACTGGTAGTATAGACCTCCTCATGACTATGCACTCTCAGTTTTTAGAAAAGGGGTGGAAATTCTCCACAACAGTATCCATAGCAGAGTCTGACCTCACTCTGAGGGTATGGGAAGTGGGAGGGCAAAAGATCAAGCCAGCTTCATGGAGTAAGAGCGATTTCCTTTCCCTCTTCTTCCTCCACCAAGGAGCTCTGTGCCATCTTTCACATTCAGGCTCTAGAAGTGCTGTTGGTGCAGCAGATGGAGGGTTAGGACTTTGGACACCAGTTTCCTTCCTGCTGGGCACCCTTCATAATCTGAGTATTATTGATTTTGTTGTGATGGTGGTAGTATGATTGGTTGGTCTGCTGGTTGTAGAGTTTGGGAGGAAGTTTTTGTTTAGTTTTTAGGATGCTACCTCTGTCATTTGTTAGATTAATTTCTAGGCAGAGCACCATGAAGTCAGTTTTCCTTGTGGGCACAATAGCAACGACCATGGACTGAGTGTCTATGATAAGTTAGGTGCCTAATGTAGATCACCCATAGGCATCTGCTATGTGGTTCCTATGGGCATGAGAATATAAACAAAAAGGTAATCACAGTCACTGACTCGCTGCAGGAGCTTAGACAAATGTCTCTTTCCACAAATTTCCCCTTGATGGTGTCTCATACCTCTCTTCCTAACAGGAACGTGTTGAGGTGGGTACATAACATTATAGATTCTAGGAGGAAAAAAGGTGATATGTAAATATAAGTTCTGAATATTCTCTTCAGTCTTATAAGAGGGCAGATCGAATCACAGAAATGGTAAGCTTATTAATGTCAGCATTTTGCCACTTTAACTTTAGAATATTTACTATATCATTTCTAATAGTTTAATAGTAGGCACATTTTGTTTTGAGAGAGGAAAAGATGCACTGTCTCTGACTTGGGCTCTTCATTGACAGTGTAAAGCATACATTTTTAGGAATATGTTTTATAAAACACATTTGAGTTGTCATTCTAGAGCACATAAAACTTTGTTCCCAAGGGCTGGACCTGTAGTGTAGTGGTTAAGGGAGTTGGATCCTGCATGGCCAAATGTGGTTCAAATCCTGGCCCTAGCAACTTAAAAATCATGCCAACGATGTGTGTGCATGTGCGGCAAATCCTGATGGGATAGAGAAATGGAAGAGAAGTGATTGTGATGTGACCGTGCCCCATTGTGGGGAGTGGGAGGTGCTTTCTTCACTTGACCCTTTTTGTTTCTTCCTGGTCAGTGTAGACACCCTCTAGGAATTAAGAAAATGAAACAAAACAAAAAACCACACCACTTTGCACATCAAAATACATCTAGTGCAATTGTTAATGATACATGTATCAAGCCTTTGCATTGACTATCTCATTTAATCTTCATGAGAAGCAACTCATTTTAAAAATAGGAAAATCAATATGAGTTACAAATAGCTCTTTAAAATAAGCCAGGGTTATTTAACTCTCCTACATAGTAAATTAAACTGTTTTAAAAAGGAGGCATTGTGGAACAGCTGGGTATTACCACATAGGCTACATACTAGCCGAGCAGCAAGGATCACATCTGAGATGTCAAAAACAAATGACCTATATTTAAGGGGGTGAACTTTTATGTGGGACCATTTTCTTATTTGCAGTTCATAGGCTAGAGAACTTTGAAAGTCATTTTGCTGCTGAAAGATCTGTCAAACACTCTGTGTGGCTCTTTTCCAGTGAAGCCTTTTAAGAGGAGAGACACGTGGCTGATAGTGTCTGAGTTTGGATTTAACCTTTCAAATAAAAGCCCCTTGCCATGTCTCATTTCATCCAGTTATAAGTTAGAGAACGTGCAAGCACCCACATTCTAAGGGTACGTTCCTGAAATCAGTAGCTATGAGTCACCAAAGGCCCTGCAGGAAGGGTATTTAAAGTCATGGTCATCAAAATGAAAAGATTGTTTTCTGAAAAATTAAATGCTTAAAATGCTTCTAGAAGAATGTGGTAGGGTGTGAGCTTATTCTTTCCTAAAGTTGGAGCTGTTGAATTAAAAAAATTTTTTTTTATAAGTTCACAAGAAAAATATGTAAATCTAAGAACCAATATTACATTCCCACAAACACTGACCTTCGCTGGTCCTATGTCCCCATATCTTTGGACTCTTGGGAACACAAAGACTCGTGAAACACTTTATTGTCGCTGGGTTAGTCAACAAGTATTCTGGGAAAAAGCAGAATTGCATTCTTCTCTGAACTTCCCACCAGGGCTGGCCCAGTGCCATGAAACAAGCAAGGAAATTCCCATAAGATCTAAACACTAGGCAAAATTGCCCAAAAAGTTAGTCTCTGTTTATCTGTCTATGGTTTTAAATAAATATAGTATGAAAATTTCAGGTCATCCTTTCAACATGAGGCCGATAAAAACACATCTGGGGGAGCCCTTTAATTAGTTCTAATTAATGGTATCAGGGCAGCCAGTTTCTTAGTGGGTTTAAATTTTTGTTGGAAAGATTTTTGCTATAGGGCATGTACACTTACAGGAGATACAGAGAGAAGGTGAGAAATCACCCCCCCCACACACACACACACGGGGGGATGCCCAAGTGTCAA